CCTTTGAAAGTTGGCAAGTAATGGGAAATGTTAACCAGTTAGCTAGGAAAGGGAAATATCTTCTAGTGGAAGTGTTCTAGGTGGGAAACATGATTAGAACCGCATCCTCCTGCAAACTCTTTCTGAGTCAATGTATCTAGGCAATATGGTCAACTTCTGTCATCCTCACAAAACAGACACCTCCAGATAGTATGCTCCACAGTGTGGGAGGATTAAGAACTTTGCAATGTTTCCAAAACATGAACTTGAATCTTCCCAGAATCTCAGTAACATCCCTAAATATCTGTCCTCAGGAAACAGGAGATGAACGAGTGTGTTAAACAGCGGTGTGAGGATGCCAGTGGAGTAAGGGAAATTCAGATTGTGGGGAAAATGGCTCCTATTAGCACTACCAGGAGAACTAAAGTAGTGAATACGTGCGACCTGAAACAGTACCTGACACCCTACAGACCTTAGCTCCAGAGACCATCTCCAGCACCAGTGTTATTAAAATCAGCAAGAAAAGTTTCCTTGTACCGCCTGCCTTTGAGGAAGCCACACAGCTAATATGACCCTCTTTGAGTGGTCACATCCCCTGGGTTTTATTCTGGAGGAAGTGAAAATCAGGAAGGAAAAGATTACTTTATGGTTGCTGGATGAATACTCATAGCCACTGAATATGAATGCTAAACAATATGGGACCTTAATCTGAAGCCCACAGGTTAGGGTGTATAATAACTCTCTTCCATCCTGTATATTTTCTAAAAGAGGCTTTAGTTTTAGAATAACTTTTGATTTGCAGAAAAATCAAAATGGTAGGTCAGAGGTCTCACAACACTGCAGCTCCTCCTGGCACACTGTGGATCTTACACACGTGTGGTACATCTATTACAACCAAGGTGTCAGTCTCTACACACTGGAGTTTCCTAAGGTCTGTGCATGATTCATATTGCCTAAGCTTTTACCTCATATTTGTCTTTGGTTCTAGGATACCATCAATTCCATGTCTGGTTAGGCTCTTATGGGCTGTGACAGTCCCAGGATTTCGTTATTTTTGATGGCCTTGGCAATGTTGAGGCCCCACTGGTCAGGCATTTTGTTCAATATCTCTCAACTGGGATTCTTCTGATGTTTTGTTTATTGCAGTTAGTCTAGAGTTATGTGTTTGAGGGAGAAAGACCACACACGAACCCACTCCTGTCACATCATATCAAGATCACACCTTATCAACCTAGTTTGCCACTACTAATGTTGGCTCATGGTCTGGTGAGGGGATCTGCCAAATTTTTCCAACGTGAGCTGAATCTCACCTCATCCTTTTTACTTACCGTACTCTTAAGGAGGTCACTGTGTGCAGCCTCTTAGTATTATTTAATCATTCATTCATATAAGTATGTGGATCTGTTGTTGCATTAAAGACAGCCTAAGAGGGGCCACCAAAATGTGTTGCTGTCCCATTAAAAGATGAAAACAAAGCAGCTTCTTTTTGGACTGACTTAACTAAGAGAGAGCCCACATCTGAGTTCTCTACTTCCATCCCTGGGCATTTATTCTGCTTACAGCTGTGGCTACTGTCTGTAATCTGTGTGTCTGTGTCAGACGCCTACAGATTGAGCCTGTTCCCCACAAAGGACTTTGATCCGTACTTACTGAACAGAGCAGAAAACATGACATAGGAAAGAAATGAGGGACTCTTTGCAGAAATCCTGAACGGGGTTCTACTAGAGAAGACTAACCCCAACTGACCTGGAATAGCACCCAGCATTGTAAACAGATGCAATGCAGCTATCTCCACATGTTGCTTTCAACATTTATGGAGGATATTTGCTTTGTTTAAGCTTGCTTCCAGCCGTTAGCTGCTTCCAGAAAATGATTACAGCACTCACACACACACACACACACACACACACACACACACACACACACACACACACTATATTCTAGATCGGTAGTGTAGAAACTATGTAACATAAGGTTAAATCCAGGTATTTAGCTTAGCTTGTAAAAGCCGATTTCACGGGAAATCTGAGGTGTAGTGAGGTTGTTTGCCCTGTTCTCATAAGGTGAGCTAAATTTGAACAGGCTGAGTACACAGTGGGATGGCAGGCTAAGTACATAGACTTAAGCGGTCTCAATGCCTATCATTAACCTGTCTGCAAAGTCCAGCAAAAGTTCTTTCTTTTTGGAGTCAAGAGATATTTTCATAAAAATGTATCACCACAAGTATGGCTTGATTTGTTTTATGCATCCTTTGACTTTTAAAATATAAAAACAAACCCTGTTTTTACAATAATACATTTAGGGTGCTCATTTTTTGTCATACTATAAAACACTACTATAATTCACATGTGTGTGACTGTGTGTGACTCTGTGTGTGTACACACCAGTGTGTGTGCATGTGGAGGCTAGCAATAGACACTGAGTGTCCTTCCTCTATTGATTTCCACCTTTTTGAGGAAGGCAGGGAGAAATTGTGAAAAAGTCTGAATGCTATACCAAGGATTTTCAGCTTAGTAATTCCATATTAAGGACCCATATGACCGACTTTAAACAGATCAGTGTCATGAGGAATCAGGAGACACTGTCCCATGCAGAAACATCTGGGTGTGTGCATTCTGCTTTTCTTGGCTTCATCTGCCAGCTTCCAATAGGTTACTCCATCATCTACAGTTCATGAAGTGAGTTCTACCAACCTTCAGTATTTACAGGACACCCAGAACTAAATCAGAAGGCACTGGGAATCAATAGGTAAATGGCCATGAATTCTTCTTTCTCTATGTACACCAATGTAGTGTGACTTTTCTACGTTCCCATTGTAAGGAAAAAGGGCCAGCCAAAGAAAAACACCCTGAGCAGAGCCAAAGAAACGCACTTGGGCCCTGCAACCAGAACCAAAGAAATGTACCCTGACCCTAAAACCAGTGCCAAAGAAATGTACTTTGGTCCTGGAATCAGAGCCAGTGAAAGAAATATACCCTGGCCCTAAAATTAGAGCCAAAAGGCTAAAAAGGACCAGTGAAAAAAACACACTTTGGCCCTAAAATTAGGCCAAATCTGACCCTAAACCTGTGCAGAAAACCATCCAATCCCTGATCAGGAGATCTAGTCATTCTGAGCTCAGGGATTGAAATCTGACCCCACCTTGGAAAACTCTCTGGGAAAACTCTGCCCCCTAAGAATCCCTATATAAACGACCTTGGCAGAAGGCACTCTCCTGGATTTTTCCCTCCCAATAAATCTCTTGTATGAAGAAGTTTGGGTGAGACCTTTTTTGGGTGGAGCAGAGATGTAACACTTTTCCCTGGGGAAACCTTCCCTTGGCAAAGCGAAGTTGTTACACTCTGCTCTGCAGGGGACTGGAGCTGAACTGTAATGCTTCACTGGGGAAAACCCTCTCCTGGAGCCTTTCCGTGAAGCAGAGCTGTAAACTGCTATGCTTACTGTGACCTGTGTTATTCCTTGGCTCCCTATTGCCAGAATACCTTTCTACCCATGCAGCAACACTCAATAGTCTGTGACTCCTGAGTGCCAGAATCTATCCCTGTCCATCCCATCCAATCGGTCAAAATGCTTACATCCATTGCCTTGACTAACCAAAGTAGTAAATCCTGATAAAGATTCCAAAAGCATGACTGTGATACAGTTTCATCTCTCTTGTCCTCCAAAGAAGGAAGTCTAGGCAGACCTCCTTAAGAATGAAAGAACACATGGACATTCTCAGCTATCATCATTGTGGGACATATGAGACTCTGTTGGATCAGTGACCTTAAAGTCCATCACATGACATTGACCTCAGGAGGGATCCCAAGTGAGACCAGCAGGCACTTAGTTGAGCCCACAAATGTGAGCCACCACAGAGACATAAACAGGAACTCTTAGAGTTTAGGATCTTCTGTTACACGGTAACATATGGTGGATACAACTATTGGTTCAGCTCACTGTACTGTCCCTAGCCCATGCCAATATAGAATAAGTCCTGGGAATGTTGAGAACAGAGCCCCACCCTCTGAAAACACAGAAAACTATGCTCACACTATGACCTAATCTTAACAACCAAATGAAAAATATTTGTGTTGCTAGTTTTTGTATTTCTGACACTTCTCTTGTCTCCTCTCTTCCTCCTTGGTTCTTTTACAGCAAATTCTCCCTTGGGGTTACTTTAACCCTGCATGTATGCTCTCTGCTCGGGGAAATACCAGAATGTTGACATTCCCTCTGCCCTGTGGACACTCCAGCAGCAGTTCAGATGCAGCCCCATTGCTTCTGCTTTTTGATTTCTTAAAGGGATCCCTTAATTGGGAAAGAGCCATCTTTAGATTTCTTAATATATTCTTTAGTTTTCTCCTGAGTTTCATACACAGTCCCATTATAACAATCCACTGAAACTATAAAAATCACTCATAGATGTCTCTAGCCAAGTCTATCTTCCATATAATCGAGATTGGCAATATGAAAAAAGAAATCAGATTCCCCTCACAGGGCACCTGATCACCAAGCCATCCCCGTTCACTGGTTAGCCCTTAAATGACATCTCTAAAATGTGTCTTCATTCAGGATCTATCTATGTGATTTTATTTTGGTCATAAGGATTGAATTCCAGGAAGCCTAGTTCATGTCAAGCATGTGGTCTGCCTCTAAGCTACACTTGCAATCCCTCAAAACTGTGACTTCTAGACAAGCTTTCATGGTGCTTGTAGTGGTTGAGATATACAATCTGCTTTCAAAAGAGCAACATAAGAAACAGGAAAATAATATGAAGTCAATACACTAACCATGATCTAGACATTTGTATACATAATCACACATCGTGGGAGCAAGGTGTGCATGTGTATGCAAAGAAGGAGATGCGTGGGTTAAGTGGCATGTTACAAGTCAGAGCTAGCTGAGCTGTGCGAAATGTGCGTGGGGTAAATGGGTTGCTGGAGTCTGGGGCATGGTGAAGGGAGGCGGGGGTATAGAGGAAGAATGAAGAGCAAGTTGGGGTTTACTGGGGCAGAGGACAGATGGAGAGTGGGCAGCCAGTGGTCAGAGCCCTGGGGTTCCATGGGGAAGAGCAAGCAATGCTTGAGCTCACACACACAGTGTCCCTCTGGGAGCTTCTGAGCAAAGGCCTGCTTGAGTGGAGGGACAAGGACTACCCGAGTGGAGGGACACACGCTTGATTGGAAGAGGTGAGGAGACATCCTGGGAGGCTCGTGCCTCTGTCTGTCTCAGAGAGAACAAGGAACTTAATAGGGGAGAGAGAGCTGGAATGAGAAGGAGATATAAATGAAGAAACATTTGGAAGTCGGAAACTTTGGGGTGGGTAACATCGATATCCCATACAGGCAGATGCCCTATTAGGGGAACACAAGACGGGAGCTTTTCCCTAGCAGTGGGAGAGTGGCTTCAGAGGCACGCCACCTCTGTTGAGGACCTTTCATGTGCCAAGCACACTGGGCACCGAGAGGCAGTAATATAGTTCTTGAGTTGTCTCGTGTCTAATGAGTTGATAAGAAGTCTGGGCTTACTCTGTCAACATCCCTACCACAACCACCACCTATCCATTGACTTAGTTTCCCTCAGTCTCTCTGCCCAGGCTGGCCTCTCCGTGATCCTCTTGCCTTGGTCTCCCAAGTGCTGGAATCCCTGGCATCAGCCACCATGCCCAGGTGCAGCCTTTAGTAATATTTGAAAAACTGAGATGCAGACTCACAGCTAGGGATGAGCTCACAAAGTATGCCACCACATTTTACCAATCTCACTTTGCAGGCATTTAGGTCCATGCTAAAGGGAATGAATATTTGCTCTGGCAGCATTTTAAGGTAAAAAGGGAAGAAAAGGAATGTAATATACAGACTTACAACTAATTGATGTGGGAAATAAAGGAGGAGCTAAGAGTGACTTTCAAGGCTCTGGCTTTGGCGAAGATGTGGATGACAAGGGCACAGGGGCCACATGAAGAACAGGTGACCTTCAGCACTGGGGTTACAACTGGGCAGTGAAACTGTGTCAGTCCCTGACTTGGTGTGGTGCATAATTGAGTGGTTAAATCTGGCTAGCTGGAATGCTTCTCTTGGCTTTATCCCCTCTTTCTACTGTTCATGAGGAAGGAAGGTCTCTGCCAGGCAGAAGTAAAATGATAGGCTCTGTTGTAAAGTTGTTGACTTACAGCAGATGGTAGACACACGTATGGGGTATGGATACTCTAGTGTGGGGATGGTGGTCTGTGATCAGCAGGGGTGGGGAGAAAGAGTTCTCTCGAGGGTGAGATACCCTTTATCACAGGTTCCTGTTCCCAGAGTCTTCTTAGAAAGACAATTCTTCCTGAAGCCATTAGTCAGAAAAGATTTTTTTAAAAGAAAGGCTGCCTTAGTTAAATAAGATGCAGGGATTTGGGGAGAGTTGGAGTAACCCCTTTGGTTACACCAGCCACGTGCTGATGGCAAAAGGCTCATGGCTAATTATGCTCCCCTTACCAGACTCCTTGTTTGACAGTGTCTCTTCTCCCAGTCAAACAATGGAGCACACAAGCAGTTAACAGAGATAAGAATAAAGCAAAGGAAACACAAAACCTTTCAGACATTTCTACTTTTCAATAAAAAATAGACACCTTTCTCTGCAAAACATCTTTACAGCAAGTCTGTTTCACTGATATGTGTTCTGCTTTCATCCTTCACACAGCCTGAAGAAGTGGTTTAGCTCACTAGATGCTCATCTCTGAGATATCACAGATCAACAACATGAAAACCGAGAATTTCGTTTTGCTGCTTTGACATCACATGCACTAAAATAGCTTTCGGTTCTCTGTCATGCAGCCACATACAGCCAGGTGAGGAACAGCGCCGACTGGAGTTTCCTGTGGGCTGACATCTTTACATCTGGAGGCAGCATGCTCTCACTGGCGCAGAGGAGGTCACAACTGATGTGCTCACATGAAAACAAACAAACAAACAAACAAAATCCCAGATGTTCAGCTCCTGCCCAGTGGCGGATGGTGAAGATGGCTGTAGGTCATCTACCATGGTGAAGTGATGTGTGGAGCATGCAATATCAGAAGGGGAGTCGGGCCAAGGTAAAATCCTCCATTTATGAGAAGTAGGGAGGATTTTGAGGTCCATTTGGAAAGGGGAAAGATGCCTAGCTGGAGGCCAGAAAACGGGATCTAGAAAGGAGGAGCGGGGAGAGGAGGAAACTCGAAGGACGTCAGAGTCTAAGAAGGACTTTCATATGTGTGATGATGTACTTGGAGTACCTACCTGGGAGTCTTCAAATTGTTTAAAAACGTTAGTTGGGGCTGCAGAAATGGCTCAGTGGTTAAGGACACTGCTCTTCCAGAGGACCCAGGGTTCAATTCCTGGCACCCACATGGCAGCTCACAAATGTCTGTAACTCTAGTTCCAAGGGATCCCTCACACAGATACAACAATGCACAGAAAAAAAAATACAAAAAAATTCATTAAAAAATCAGTCACTGATGCTTTTGAGGGAAGTGGGTTCCTGTCCTTTGTACAGTGGAGTCCTCCACAGCTGAGTGTCCATTTGAGTCCCTGAATCTGCCACTTTGTCTAAAGAAACCCACGCTAGCCATACAATTCACCAGCGCACTGGTCACTCATAGACTGGTTTGTGCTAAGTCATGCTTTGTTCATTTCACTTTAGTCTTAGATTTTGGGTCATGAATTATGTTGGTCTTTCCTGTGTCTACACATGAAGAAACAGCATTGGTCTCATCCACTGCTTTGCTGTGGCCCTCTCCATCTACTCTGCTGGACCATGCAGTCAGGCAGCCCTACCCAACCCCATTACCACAGTGTGGAATTCAAATCTTGCGAAAGTAGTGGGTTTTGTGAACAAGTTGAAAGTGGCCTTGGAGGCGAGCTTGAGGCATCTTCCAGGTCACCAGCCAATGAGGATCTGGCAGAGTAGAGCCAAGCTTACAATAGAAAGAGAAAACTCTTCTGGGATTGACATCATTTGTTGTTCCAGAGAAGGTGGTTTTACTCTCAAAGCATGACGGCAGTCTTTGGGGAAACCAGCATTTTCTCGGAGGTGTTTTACAGGTCCACTGTGAAACTGGATGTGTGGCAAGGACAGTGTGACCTCGACATTTGGTTTGCTCATTTAAGGGTTAGCACGGGGCAGGTCTTTAGCCTCTTCAGCCTCACATGTTAGATGCGCTTCCTTCTCTGTTTGGTTTTTCAAGGAAAGCTCCAGGCAAGCCTCTTCTTCACATTGTTTGTTACTTATTCTAAAATTTTTATTGTAGGAAATATAAAGCACAAACAAGCATAAAGAAATAGGATTGACATGTAAAACAAGCTATTTAAAATTAAAATAAAAAATGATAAAAAAATAATAATAAATTAAATCCTTCCTCAGCACCGCCCAGGTGAAAACATTATTGCCTAGATAAAATTTTATTTTATGTGTGTGTGTAGTATATACATGTAAATATGTTCATGTATGATATGTGCACTTGTCCCACTACGAGATAAAAATCTTCCTCCACTGAAAGCCAGAATAAGTGGATGATGCCATTTAAGTAGAGGCCTGGTTAAAAAAATTATACTTCCTGTAAGAAGCCTATGTCTTCTTTTACGTAAACTTGCCTTTTCATTATATGTGGGAGGCACACATGTCCTGGTACCAAATGACCTTCTGCTTCCCTCAGATCTTAACTCTGCTGGCTGTGTAGTCTCAGAGATCCCTGCATTACAGACATTAACAGCTACCAGATATTTTCATGTCAATTGTTTACAGAGCTTCACCTCTTACACTAGATAACTTGGGAAACTGGAATTCACTTTTGGAATTTTGATGATCAAATTTCTATGAAAACAAACACAAGAGTAACAACAGCACTAGTCATGGAACCTTTAACAGGCATGAAACTTCGACCTGCCTGGGTAATAAATAACCACTCAAAAAGCCTTAAGGACTAAAGAGCAGCCCATTTGGGAGGCATCTTTAGATGCCACCTACATGGCTCTAGGCGCTCAGAAATAAATAATGAGTAAAATTAATTCTGTGATTTCAACACCTCAGTATCTAACAAGAGTCAAAGACCCCTGCCTTACAAACTGTGACCCTAACTAAACAGGTGCTATTGTAACGAGATAGGCAGGGTTGCCAAGGAGTACAGAAGCCGATGGGAGCACTTTTAATGAGGGAGGTTGAGGAAGATGTCATGGAAGAGGTGGGTTCAGGGGAGCTGGGCTTCTGTAGACTGAGGGAAAGCAGGGCCTCCACAGGCCAGTCACAAGCATGAGGTGTGGCTTTCGTGTGACCCTGTGTTGTTGGGCTTTGAGTTCCTGTGAAAGAGGGTGTGCTTGGAGTTCTGGAGCCATTTTACAGGCTAGAGCACAGCACAAGGTCCACCCATGACAGGATCTCAGTGGTTGATTATTAAGGAAAGGTAGTCAGGAGAAAAATGAAGAAGGGAAGCCTGATGGGTAAGAGCAGGCAGTTAGATGCCCATATGTTATGCTGAGATTAAAAAAAAAATCTCAATAGCCCCTGTTCTTCTTCCCAATCAGAAAAGAAAGCATGAGGTGTGTGTGTGTGTGTGTGTGTGTGTGTAAAGGTCTTATTTTTTGTTAGATTTATACCTGAGCATTTACTTTTTTCTAATGCTAATATTAAAAGTATTGAATTTTTAATCTTAAATTCTGCTTGTTCATTGCTAACATGTGGAAAAACCATTGATTTTTTTTACATTGATATTGTATTCTGTAACCTTATGGTAACTGCTAATTACTTCTGGGAGCGTCTTTTGCTGCTGTTCTTTTATACTTTCTGAGTAACTTTGTGCATAAAGACACTCTTATGTCTTGATGGATTGGCACACTTTCCGTTATTCTTTCTTATCTTATTGCATTAACTAGGATCTCCAGTTACACTGTTGAAATGAGATGGTAAAAGGGGACATACTTTCTTTGCTCGTGATAGAGTTCTAAAATTTTACCTTTGGTCTGTAGAAACACAATTTATATAACACACACACAATATATGATATATATCATATTTTGTTCATTCAATTTTTCATGTAGTATTCATATTTACCATTTTGTGGTTGCATATGATTTTATCAAGCAATATCCAAGACTCACCTGATCCTTCTCGATGGTTTCATTTATACATTGTTTTCTATTCTTCATGATTGTACGTACTTCTACTGGAAATAGCTGTGTATGTTCAGCTACTTTTTACTGCAATACTTGCTTTAGACTAAATTTGTAGGTATGGGTCAAAGGAAATAAACATTTGTGTGGCCTTACTATTTTCATTTTTGAATTATTCTTATGCATGTTGATGTATAAAACTTTAGGCTAATGCACATACTTATTAACTATACTTAGTAACAGGCACATACTGATTAACTACAGTTTATCCATTGTTACATCAATACACTGTAGTGAAGTTACATTTTAAAATAAAATAGGAGGTATCAAAAGGAATGGGTAGAAATTTTACAGAATTGCATACTAGTGTTTTGGAATTAGTCATTGCTATATTATGAATATTTTTAAAGGTGTGTGTGTGTGTGTGTGTGTGTGTTATGTGCACATGCCTGCAGGTGACTACAGATGCCAGAAGAGAGTATCAGATCCTGGAACTGGAGTTACAGGTGGTTGTGAGTCACCAGATGTGGGTGCTGGGAACTAAACCCAGGTCTTTAGAGAACAGCAATCACTCTTAAGCACTGAGCAGTGTCTCCAGCCCCTGCTATAAATACTTGAGTAGCCTCCAACATCATATTGAAATTTTAACCTTTAAAGTGATGAGATGGCACTGAGAGATGTGTGCTTTGGTCATGGGGTTGAGTAGCATGTTTGCAGTTAGTGCCCTCACATAAGCCTGACTTTCCTTTGTCTTTTTTTCCCCAGTTTTTATTTGTTTCTGAGAGAGACTCTCGTGTAGCTCAGGCTGATCCTGAACACTGTGTACAGACAATGCTTCCTTGACAGTCACTACCCAGAGTGCCACGCTGTGTCCTTTCCAGGCAGGGTTTCATTGCTGTGACAGACTTGTGAGTTACCCAGCTTGTAAGAAGAAAAGCGCACTGGGACACAGCTTTGAAGGTTTCAGCCCCTGATCAATTGGCCTCAGGGCTTCAGGGCCTGCAGCATATTGTAGCTGCAGCTATTCACCTTATGTCTGCATGGCATGAAAAGGAGGAATTCGGTGTTCCACAAGTACCCTCAAGGGCATGCTTCTGGACCCAGAGTTCCTACATGCTTCAACTCCTCAGGGTTCCACTGGCTCCCAGTAATAGCATGTGGGAGCAAGCCTAGTGCATGGGCATTTGGGAACACAAGCTAGAAAACACATATGCCCTCAATATCCCCCTTAACTCTGTAAGGCATGTAGTATTGCTGTCTCTGATTCATAGATGGCCCCAGGGGGGTCTTTGAAAAGTTAACTAAGCTTATCAGGTCTCTCCAGCACTAGATGTCAGAACCAAGAGGCAGAGGCAGGCTTACATGGTCAGCATCCATGCACTGACACGTTGTGACATGCATGAGGAACTGGAGAGTTGTGGTTTGCTGATGGGACAGTTCTATGGGGATATCTAGATGGTGAAAACCCTTTTCTTAACTACAGTGTGGCCATGCAAAAATCACAGTGCTGTAATGAAAGGATTTGACAGCTGTGCAGACCAGTGGGTAAAGTCACCCACTGCCTGTGTGATGTTCAGGGGACTTGGCAGGGTCTGTGAGGGTGGTCCTCCCTGGCCTTGTTCAGGTGACTATGTGTTCGCCCATAGTCGTCCTTTGAACATTCATTTCCTCATGCCAGCGCCCATTAGGAAGTGCGGCTTTCCAAACTTCCCTCTTCTAATGTAAGATGAGGCCATGTGGCCTTATGCAAACAGCACTTGCCTTGAGAAAGGCATCTAGAAATGGGTTTCTGCACAACTGAATGCCATAGTCTCATGGAAGCTGCCCGAGGAGAGACACAGGGACCATGCTGATGGAGGTGCCTTCCGTACATGTGAAACCAAGTGACATAATACAGTTACTCAGTCTGACCTCATGGGAGGGAGGGGACTTTGCTATTTAGGTGCTTTGA